GCTCTGGCGGGTGTGGTGCTCCTGGCTGTGGCACTGGTCCTTGTCCTGGCGGGAGCACATGGTGGTGTTTTGGGGTGATCTGCAAGGAGAGAGGAGCTGTCAGGGGCTTTGCTTTCCTCTTTCAGCTCTTCCAAGGGAAGATAAGTCTGGATGGACATTCGTACATTCTTAGCCAGATCCCACAATCCTGTTTAGACCTTCTAGTACCACCCACAGGATTGTCCCACCAATGATGCCGGGAGCATTCGGAGCTCCTGGACAGGCTGCCCACGCTTGGCTTTCCAAACCTGTTTTAATCTTGGAGTGAGGAAAGCAGCACCCCAGAACCTCCCTCTAAGCCCAAATTTTTCCCCTTCTTCTGGCACCCCCTGCCCTCCCTCCTCACCCCACCTCCCGGAATAAGCCCCGATCCTGGGCAGGAGTCCTGAGCGCTGAAACCCCGCATCGTCACCGCTCTTACCCGCAATGCTCGTGTCGCAACGGAGCAAGGAGGGAATGAGCTTTGCCAGGACAGCAGCTCTTTTATACCCTCTCTGCTCACCTCATCTGGAAGCGAAGCACCTCCCTGTCGCAGAACTCTGCCCGTTCATTTAATTAATCGATGGGCTTTTCATTTTTCTTCTTTTTTTTTTTTGCCTCCCCACTCTTTGGCTTTCCTGTGTGACTCACCTCATCCACTCCGGATATCGCCGCTCGTTATCGGTTGTCTATCCTGTGCCGCAGAAATATTTAATTGCCAGCTCTGCCTGTGCTTCGCTCCAACAGGGGAACAGTGTGGGTGGCCCCGGTTTCCACAGCTTCGCCAGTTTGTTTTTTGGTGTTGATCCCAGCTGGGCAGCACTTTGCATTTGGAGGAAGGGAGGGCGTTATGTCACTTACCTAAATCACACCATCCTTTTAAAATATCTTCAGGTGCTCTAGTCCTCCAGATGCCCACAAACGCAGAGATGTGCCTAAAAGTACGGATAATAGCAGACTAATCTTCCTTCACATCAATTTTACTGGTGCCAGTCGTTTCTCTTAAAACCAGCTGAAACATGGTGCAATGATGAAGAGAGAGGAAAAGAGAGCCCCTATAAAATTTTTTTTGTTGCTCTAAAGTTTTCAGCTGTGGCTGGACCCACCGCAGCTGGGATTCTTATTTTTGGAAGGGGGGAATGCTTGGGTAATGATTTGGGATTAGCAAGGTACATAATTACGTGGTTAACTTTCAGCGCATGAGTAATGCTGGAGCAGCAGCACCAGTGGGGGTTTTTTTATTATTATTTTTGGGGTTGCGAGTAGCTTCGGTGACGCACAGGGAGGAGAAGGGCACCCGCGGGAGCTGGCAGACCCTGGGGACTTTCTCCAAACTTGCAGGAACATCCTTTTTTGGAGCACTTTTCCCTGCTCCCCAATTAGCTGGTAATTCTCAACAAACCTGGGTGTTACTGGGACGGATGCACAGACTCACGCGAGGCTCCAGGCCAGGCACCACGTTTGCAGTGAGAGCTAATTGTGAACGATAATTTGAGATACTCCCTGTACTTCTGCGTGGGTTAAAAAGTGCTTGGGACTACGGGTCTTGTTTTGCCATGAAAGACATTTCAGTAATGGAGGATTTTTGGAAAGGACAGGGCAGGGTTAATTATTCAGGTAAGCAACCTAAATGCTTCTTTTGTATTGCTTAATTGCTATTATGAACTAGAACAATGTCAGGGCAAGCTGTTCCCAATTGTGTTTTGTCCTGGAGAGAAACCTAGTAAAAAATTGGGAAAAAAAGACTCAAAATAATTTGTGGCTCTCGGCACCGCGCTGTATTCGGTTCCTCACGTTCAAACTGTGCTGAATTTGTTAAAGATCAGCAGCATTCCGCCAAACGTGCTGGGCGTCTCTAGATTTTGAGGCTGTCCACCTCAAAATGCCACGGAAATGAGGTTTGCAAAGGGAGAGTGGGGGCTCAAGGCAAAGACCAGACCCCCCAAACAGCTTCTTCAAACAATTCCTGCACTGAAAGTTTGTTCAGGGAGTCAGCTCGTGTCTGCGCCCTTTTCAGCAATGCCAGATATTTCTGATCGTCGTGACACACTCGAGAGTTATCTTAGCAGGGCAGCATCCATCTCATGAATAGCAATACCACACCAATAAATTACACAATTCGTTTTAATTACAAGCCAAGAAGAAATAGATGAGCTCATTGTGTAACACCAGCATCTTGCAACGCCCCTGGCTTGACCCGGGGCTCTCGAAATGTTGGGCAGAGGGTTTCTAGAAAGGCTTGCTGAGGGCATTGGGCAAGCATGTGGGGATACCCTCCCTGAGGATTCTGCCTTGGGGTCAAGTGGCAAAATAAAGGAATTTCTGCCCCATCATGGGTTCCTGGGATTTTTTCTGCCCCATAGCTGGCTCCAAGGGCTTGTGCAACGCAGCCCGTGGGGTCTTGGTGGTGGGGTTTTGGGTCTCTCTATGGGAGAGTGATGTGGAGGAGAGCTGCGGAGGCCTGGGATGGCTTCCTAAAATATCAGAATTTAAAAACCTTTGATGTCTTTCTTTTTCTTTGGAGTCCATAGGGGAGAGCATGGCAGCACCCACCCTTACTGCCTGTGTCTGGGCAGGGTAATGTCAGGGCCGTTGGACAAGGACAAGGTGTCTCGTGTTGTGAGGTGAAATAAAAGGTGAAAGAAAAGTCAAGAACAGGAAACTCTCATGAACTTGGAACTGTAATGGCTCATACATAGTCACAGACTGATACAGAGACAACCATGCCAGCATGAACGTACAGTTTATTTCAGCACCCACAGACCAGCTCACCAGAGGTACAGGAACCATGAGGGGAGGGAAAGGAGACATTTTTCTTGAAGGTTGCTAGGAGGCACGCAAAGCTGTCTGAACTCAGCACAAGATCAAGGACATGCATGTGTATAACGTGAATGTCCCCGTCACTTCATCTTTGAGGATACTTGATAAATTTGCTGCTGGCAATCCTGCGGCTTCCCATGGCAGGATCCCCCACTGCTCCCGTGGCATCCAGATCCCCCACTGCTCCCGTGGCATCCGGATCCCCCACTGCTCCGGTGACAGCCAGATCCCCCACTGCTCCCATGGCATCCGGATCCCCCACTGCTCCCATGGCACCCGGATCCACCACTGCTACTGTGGCAACTGGATCCGCCACTGCTCCGGTGACATCCAGATCCACCGCTGCTCCGGTGACATCCAGATCCGCTGCTGCTCCCATGGCAGCCTTCGCTGCTGTGGCATGAGGACCGTTCTTGCTGGTGGCACTGATCTTTCTCCTGGCGGGAGCACATCTTTGCAGACCTTCTGGAAAGATAGGGTGAGTGCAAAGGCAAGAGCCGCTGTAAAGTCTGTGTTAGAATTGTGTTGGAAAAGATCTTTACAATCATCGAGTCCAATCGCTAGCCTAGCAATGCCAGGTCCACCACTACACCGTGTCACTAAGCACCACATCTACTCATAGATTTCTAGTTAGATGGGATTATCCACCAAGATATTATGAGCCAGGTTCTTGAAGAAGAGAGAAAAACTAGCAATGCATGCCTTGACCTGTACGGAAGACCTTGCGCCATCTTCCTTTGAGGAAGCCTTTCATTTCTCTTCCATGTTTAGCCAATATATAAGATAGAAGTTAAAGCGCTCAGTGAGAAGCGGTGGCCAGACAGAGTCCAGGGCTCAGTTTGAAGAGTCCTGTCCTCAGCCGTCTGAATCAGTAAGTTTTAGGTTTTCCTAGTTGCTCTTTCTTATTTATGTATAGAGATGGATGGAGAAGACAACCCAGGCAGAAGGACTGAGCAACCGTGGCCAGACACAGTCGCAGAGATAAGATGCATCAGAGTATTGGTCAAGACTTCAGGATCAAGACGAAGCTGGTGATCATTAAAAGTGCAAAAGTTTGAACAAGCTGGACTTA